ATTTAATTATGCTAAACACCATTAATCATTCAATTTACAATTTTTCACAGCTGAATAAAAAGATTGGTTCTGTTCTGACAGTTGTTTTTCTGTATTCTATTACCTGTAAAAATGTCCACCACTCTAGGACATTGGGGGGGTAGCTTCCCCTGGTGTTTAATGTACAAACAAGTTGTATTCTGTAGTCTCCACACCCCCACACCCAGGCTTCCCTGGCCAGTAGCACTGTAATGAAGACCACAGTGGCCATCCTCAAAGATGCTGTGTGAAGGCCCAGGTGTATCCTGCTCAAGCTCTCACTGACTCCTAACTGCTCTTAGAGCTCTGTGATGCCTCATCTGTGAACCATGACCATGGTTAATGGCAAGGCCCAGGCATCCAGCTGCTATAAGGGTTCATATAAACACTCAGGACAGTGCGTGCACAGGAAACATGACATAAGCTAGCCATTACTTTCATTGTTATTTTCTTGGAAGAGTCCTTACACCTTCCAAACTTTCTGCCAGTTTTTTTATTGCTTGTTATCTCACTTTTAAGTTCCCAAGCCCCTCCTCCTTCTCCAAGTGTCCCTCTCCTGTATCTGTTCTTGCTTATGGACAAACTCTTATTTCTCTGATAGTTTCTGTATACATGTTCATATGCACTACATCTGTTCCTCTAACTTCCTTTTGCTCATTATTTTCTTTAGTTCCTTTCACATCTGCTTCACTCTGCACCCAGGATCACCAGTGGTTCTGTGCTGCCAAAACTAATGGCTCTCTTCAGGCTTTATCTTATGAGAGGAGCCCTCTGAACAGCTTCCCACGCAGCAGCCTCCTCCTGCCCTCCTGGCAACTATGACACTCATCACTTTGGACTTCCTGTCTCTATGTCTTGAGTCCAAATCGTCTCAGTCTTCTTTGGTTTGTCTTTCCACCCACTCCACATATGCTGGCATCTCCAGGGTCCTGTACCCCTCGCATTTTGTACTCTGGTCATTCCTTTGTCAGTGTCCTTGGCCACTTCCAAGTTCTTCCTAAGAGTAAAATTCTTCCATGGCTTGCTAAGGCCCCTTTCCTCTGAAACTTCTGACCTCAATGACCTGTCCTATGCCTCCTCTCCCCTATCTCTCTGTAGTCCCATTCTCCATTTCATTGAGTGCACTGTCTCATTTTCCCTCAGGCTATCACACGTTTCCTCTACCAGATCTGGGAACCACTTCCCTAACAACATTGACTCATTTTTCAGAACTGCTTCCTTAGAGAAGCGTTCTTCAACCACTCTTAGCAGATTTATAGCAGATTGTGAGTACCTCCTCTGGACAGAAAGCTAAAGAGGGCAGGACCAGGTCTGGGATTTTCATTGCTGTTCACTCTGTATAAAACATTAGCAGGGCCCAGCCGGTGTGGCTCAGTGTGGTTGAGTGTTGATCCATGAACCAAGAGGTCACAGGTTTGATTCCCGGGCAGGGCACATGCCTGGTATGCGGGCCCAAATCACACATCTGATAAGGATCTACTACACAGAATATATAAAGAACTCTTACAGTTCAACAGAAAGACAACAGAATTAAAAAATGGGCACAGTGCCCAGCTGGTGTGGCTCCACAGTTGAGTATAGACCTACGATCCAGAAGACTGTGGTTCAATTCCCGGTCAGGGCACATGCCCTGGTTGTGGGCTCGATCACAGTAGGGGGCATGCAGGAGGCAGCCAATCAATGACTCTCTCATCATTGATGTTTCTATCTCTCTCCCTCTCCCTTCCTCTCTGAAATCAATAAAGATATATTAAAAAAAAAATGGGCAAAGGGTTTAAATAGACTTCTTCAAAGAAGATCTACAAATGGCCAATAAGTACATGAAAAGATGCTCAACATCATTAGCTAATAGGGAAAAGCTAATCAAACCCACTCACACTCAGTAAGATGGCTATAATCAAAGAACTGAAAATAAATACTTAAGTTGTAGAGAAATTTGAATCCTTGTGTGTTGCTGACAGTAATATAAAATAGTGCAGCTACTGTGGAAAACTGGTAGTTGCTCTAGAAGTTAAATAGAATTATCACATGAACCAGAAATTCCAGTTCTAGGGCTGTATCTAAAGAACTGACAATAGCTATTCAAACAAAAATAACACACTCATGTTCACAGCAGCATTATTTACAATAGCAGAAAGTGGAAAAGACCCAAGTGTCCATTAACAAATAAATGGATAAAGTGTGGTATATCCAAACAGTGGAAAATTATTCAGCCTTAAAAAGGAATGAAGCACTGACACATACTACAATATGGATGAACCTTGAAAATATACTAAGTTAAAGAAGTCAGATATAAAAGGCTACATATTATATGATTTCAATTATTTGAAATGTCCAGTATACACAAATCCACAGAGAGTAGATTAGTGGTTGCCAGGGGCTGGGGCAGTGTGTCTGGTGGGAGTGGAATGGGAGTGACTGCTTAAAGGGTCCAGGGTTTCTATTTGGGGTGATGAAAAAGTGAGGTGATAGATGCACAACTTAATGCCACTGAACTGTACACTTTAAAATGATAAATTGTAGGCATATTTTACCACAGTTTAAAAAATACAGTATGGTAAGCCTCAAACATCTTTTGCCAGAAAATAAAAAAGTACTGAAATATACAGGGGTGTGTTCAAAGGACAAGGAAGGAGTCAGCTGAAAAGTGCTCCCACCAGCCAAATATGGGACAATTTGAGCATCAAATAAGTAACTAAGATTCCATGAGCTCATAGTCCTAAAGACAGAGAAATAAATAAATGGGGTAGAAGGGAAGGCTCTTAGAGCAGAATATTGATTTCCTAGAGAAATGATGGAGCTAGGGAAAAAAAAAAGAATCACTGTTCATCAAGGTAAAAATGGACTCAGGCAGGAATCAAGCAGGTGAGAGTCTGATGGGGAAATAAGAGGTTTACAAAGTCTTAAAATATCTCCCCACAAATTACTTAATAATTACAAAAGGAGCCCAGCCGGGTGTGCTCAGCGGTTGGGCATCGACCTATGATCCAGGAGATAGGGGTTTGATTCCTGGTCAGGGCACATGCCCGGGTTGTGGGCTCGGTCCCCAGTAGAAGGCAGCTGATCAATGACTCTCTTTCATCATTGATGTTTCTACCTCTCTCTCCCCCTTCCTCTCTCTGAAATCAATAAAGACATTTAAAAAAATATTACGAAAGGAAAAATACCAACTGCAGAATGGAGAAACCAGGTAACACCTTAACCAAATGATTATATATAACATCACCAATGTTAGCAAATGAATAGTGTGTGCCTCTGGACATGACACTGAGAGGAAATGACATCTCCCACGTGGGATCCTGGTTAGATATGCATGACCTGAGTCTAATCAAAGAAACAAATTGAGAGACAATCTATGAAAACTGGCCTGCATTTTAAAAACATGTCACTTTTGCTATAATAAATCTTATTCTTGAGTACAGCTGTAAAAAACTCCAAAAACAAATAAAACAACAGCCCCCAAAAAACATGTCAGTGTCATGAAAGAAGAAGAAAGGTTGTGTAGCTCTTACAGATGCAAGGAAATGACTAAATGAAATGTGGGGTCCTGGAATGGATGTGGTTACCAAGAAAAAAAGCTAAAAAGCATAGTTGGGAAAACTGACAAAAACAGAATATGGCTGTATATTGATGAAAGTATTAATTACATAAATGCTAACTATCTGAATTTGACAACATGCTCTGGTAATGTTTTTGGGAAATTCCCAGTAAAGTATTAAGGGTAAAGGCCCTGGCCAGGAGTTGTCCCAATATGTCAAAGTTGCAGGTTCTATTCCAGTCAGGGCACATACTAGAATAGAATCAACAAATGAATGCATAAATAAGTGGAACAAATCCATCGATCTCTCTCTTAAAAAAAAACACCAAAAAACACAAAAATATCAATAAAGTGTTAAGGGTAAAGATGTAATCTACTCTCAAATGGACCAGGAGAAAATGGCACATATATGGAGAAAAACAGAATGATGAAGCATATATGCCAATGCTAAAAAAATGAGCAAAGGGTACTGGAAATGTTTGAATTATTCTTGCTAATTTCCTGTAAGTCTGAAGTATTTCAAAATAAAATAAGAAGTGAATAAACTTACAGTGCCACAGGAGAGGCACGCCCAGGGTGGAGTCTGCACCCTGCGGAGGGTAAGTGGGGTGAGGAGGTGAGGGAGGGTTTTCTGGTGAAGGTGACTGAGGAGATAAGTCTTAACAAGCTTCGAGTGCTGGGGATGGGTAGGGTGTGGAGGTTTTCTGGAGAAGGAGGTTCCATTTAGAGGGTTATACAAAGAGGCCTGAGAGGATGAGAGAAGTGGGTGGGTTTGGGACCTACAACTAGTTTAGAATAGAGGGAGCACGGCATCCATGCAGGTGAGCTGGGCCATAAAGAAAGGCTTCACATCTCACAGAAAAACTGATTAAGGTGCTATCACCATTCCCCTAAGGATGGAGAAATTCAGGGAAGGACGATGGAGAAGAGTAACGAGAGAAATCTTGGATATTGAGTCTGGAACATCTGTGTACAGTCAAGTGGACATACAGGTTGGAGGCTGAGAGCCGGTGTGGGCTGAGTTCAATGAAAGGGTGTGGCATGAGAAGGTAGTTGAGGAATGATTCTGGACAATGTTAGCATTTAGGATATGGGAGGAGGGAAACAAAGAAGAAAACAAAAAGGCATCTGACCACTGGATTCAGAAACAAACAAACAAAAATCAAGAAAAGATACTGTCTTAGAAATGGAAAAGATAGCTTTGAGGGACTATTTCTGACCCAGGCTCCCAGTTGCCATGACTCTGTAGCTTTCTTTGCCCTTTCTGGAAGCCCCTTCAGCTGGAAGGCCCTCATCCCCATTCATATTTAATTCCCAGATCCCACACTGGAACCAGCCCTTTTCCATATCACCTGGTATTGTAATTAATGGTGCTTGTGCTATTTCCTCCCTGGATTTTAAGTTCCTGAGCCCTGAATTCTCCTTCATATCTACAAATCTACAGAGTACCCAAAGTCATGGCTGACATATAAGTCTTCAGCACTTCACAAGACTCTGGCATTGTCTATAATGGAAGGAAATAATAACCAGACAAAAGGAACCCACAACTCAACAACCAGCAACTATTAAAACAAGTGCCCGTGTTGATGCCTTCTTGATGGTCAGCCAGTGGACATGGGTGAGCCAGGAGAAGCTGTGGACAGGGACAAAAGTGATCACTTTGATTTTTTGCTTCAGTGTGTGATTTTAAAAAACCTCTCATTAAATAATTCTTGAAAAATAACATGTCTGTGCATGGTATGGGGGGAACAAGGGAAGAAGTCTATAATGTTTTGGTAGCACTAATATATTTAAAATAAAGGACAAACAGTCTTTAAAACACTTACTTCTGGAGTTAAATGTACTTCCATAGGTGTGTATGTTGGCCAGTATCCCATAGTAAGTATATTGACTGTTAGGTCTATAGAGCCTGGGTCACTCTGATTCTGCATATACTAAAAGCAAAGAAAATCAAGATAAAATAATTATTTTAGAATATTATTCAAAATAACTATAAAAAGGTAAATGGTATAATTTTCATAATACAATTTAACCTTATTTGCATTTATTTTAATCTCTAGAACATATTCTACTGAAGCCACATAATGTGCTCCAAAGTCACTTGAAATATTTTTTCTTCTTTGGTTATGTCACCAATATAAGATACCATTAAGCTCATTTAAATCAAATTTTTATTATACATTTTTAGGGATTTTTCTTTTTCATTTTGAATTTAGGTTATCTGAGTACGTGAGACATTAACAGTGTAAATTTTAAGGACAAGGATTTTACATAACATATAATTATTTACACATTTTAAATAATCATTTCACATAATTTAAAGTGGGTACTTTTAAAAAAGCTGTTTTACTTGAAAAAAACAGAACTTGCCTGCTTAAAATGAACCATGATGTCCTTGGAGAGCTCCATGTCCTTGAACATGCCTTCCAGCTTGCTGGTGAAAGCAGCGCCACACTCTGGGACACAAGCGAAGGGTGGGTGAAAAACCCCAGGAGCAACATGCTGTTAATGCAATCAATTCCCAGCACAGAGGTAGGATAGAACCCCAGGTTCCACATGCTTACCATGCTTTAGTTTTGACAACATAGATTTTTCAGCATCGACTGAGGCACTTTTTCCAACAAGGAGTCTTTTTGCCAAGTCTTTTTTATAAAATGCTTCAAAGACATCTTTACCTATTTATAACCAAATTAAAAATAACAAGACATTAGACAGTTGATACACAAATGTTCACTTTAACTACTGGAAAACCCTAAGTGTTCATTCTGATGCAAGCCAACTCTAATTTCACTGAATCCCTGTGTTAAATTTCCATAAAGAAATACGTTCAATTTAATCAGTGGGCGACCATCACTGTAGTTCCTGTATTAATATGAAAGTGGAAAATGTTTCAGTCAGTTTTTCTCAAGAAAAGATAGGGCCCACATACATTTTTGATTATGTAGCATTTTCCATGAGCCCAATGTTAATAAAAATAACATAGAGTATTTCTCACCATGAATAAACCTGAATATTATCATGATTTTGTCAAGGATCCTCTCCAGCTCTTCATCTGTTGCTTCTTTATTACCCGCTCTCAATTTTGAATCAACATGTTTTGCTGTGAAATTAAGAGTTTAAATTATTTGAAAAATAAGCATTTGTTATACATTTTCTAAATAGAAAAAAAGAACATCTTTAATCTCTATAAGCCAAAATTGGACAATAACACTCTGGAGCCTTTCCAAAGTGACATTATTATATGACAAAAAGGCAAATATCTGATGGCCTAAGATATGTCCTTTCAAGTCACGTGAGAATAAATACTTTAATTATATGCTTCGGTTTCACGATGCATTATTGCTTCAGGAACTGGAATGTCCCATTTTCAAGATGTGGTATAAGAAATTTGAATGACTCTCATAAAGGATTTTTCTCAGGGCTTCATAAGATTATATCCATGGTGACAATGTTTTATCACTGAATGCAGGGATTAGAGCAATTCTACTCTGGGTTCCTGTTTGACACAAATCAGCCATGACCTGGCTTAAGGAAAGGAGAACCCAAGGCTTTTAAGAAGCCCAAACTGAGTTAAACATTCATCTTTAGAGAAACAACAATCCATAAAGTGGCCCAAAGGCCCAATTAAATTGCCCTGTTGTTGCTTTTATTTGTATTTTTCTTTATAATTTTTTATTATGAAATATTCTGAACATACACAAAAGTAGACAACTGTATAATGAACTCCATGTTCCCATCATACACTTTCAACAATAATCAACACAAGCCCAATTTTTTATCACTGTATACACCTTTCTTTGCCCTTTGCCACCTGTAAATTTTAAAAAACTTTTACTGACTAGTGAAATTCTATGAATCCTGAAATATATCTTGATATTATCATGAAATAATTGTATAGAGTAGTAATTTAAAAACTGTTTCATCTTAGAAATAGAAAACCTAAATAGACCAATTACTAGTGAGGAGACTGAATCAGTAATCAAAAACCTCCCAAAAAATAAAAGTCCAGGAACAAATGGCTTTGCTGGTTAATTTTTTCAAACATTAAAAAAAATTAATACCCATCCTTCCCAAACTCTTCCAAAAAACTGAAGAGGAAGGAACGATTCCAAACACATTTTACAAGGCCAGCATTACCTTGATACCAAAACCAGACAGGGACACCACAAATAAAGACAGTAACAGGCCAATATCCTGGATAAACACAGATGTAAAAATTCTCAACAAAATATCAGCAAACCAAATTACACAATACATTAAAATGATCATAGACCATGAGCAAGTGGGATTTATTCCAGGTATGAAAGGATGGTTCTGCACATCAATCAACATGATACAGCATATTAACCTAATGAAGGACAAACATTTTATTTCAATAGATTCAGAAAACACATTTGGTAAAATTTGCATTCGTTTATGATAAAAACTCTCAGCAAAGTGGGCATAGAGGGACATACCTCAACACAAACCCATCTAACATCATGTTCAATGATATAAAGCTGTAAGCTTTTCCTCAAAGATTAGGAACAAGACAAGAATGCTCTCTCGCCACTCTTATACAACATAGTACTGGAAGTCTTATCCACAGCAATTAGGAAAGAAGAAATAAAAGGCATCCAAATAGAAAAGGAAGAAGTAAAACTATCACTATTTACAGATATGATACCCTATGAAAACCCTAAAGATTCCACCAAAAAATTGTTAGAATAAATGAATCCAATAAAGTCAAAGGAAACAAAATCAATATACAGAAATCTGTGGCTACATACTAGTAACAAACTATCAGAAAGAGAAGTTAAGAAAATAACCCCATTAACAATTATATCAAAAAGAATACAAAGTATAAGAATAAATTTAAGAAGGCAGTGAAAGATCTGTATACTGAAATCAGACACTGATGAAAGAAACTGAAGAAGACACAAATAATGGAAAGATATTCCATGCTTATGAATTGGAAGAATTAATACTTTTAAAATGTCAATACTACCCAAAGCAATCTAAAGGTTCAGTGCAATCCCTATGAAAATTCCAATGGCATAGTCACAGAACTAGAACAAATAATCCCAAAATTAATATGAAACCACACAATATCCCAAATAGCCAAAGCTGGATGTATCATGTTCCCTGATTTCAAACTATACTACAAAGCTACAGTAATCCAAACAATATAATATGGTATTGGAACAGAAACATACACACAGGACAATGGAACAGAACTGAGAACCCAGAAACAAACCTACACATATATAGACAATTAATTTATGACAAAGGAGCCATGAATATACAACAATGGGGAAAGGACAAAATCTTTAATAATGGTGGGAAAACTGGACAGCCACATATGGAACTGCTGCCTTATACCATATATAAAATTAACTCAAAATGGATTATAGACCTAACTGTAAGAACTAAAACTATAAAAGCTCTAGAAAATAATAGGAAAAAATCAGAGACCTTGAGTTAGGTAAAGATTTCTTAAGCAGAACAGGAAAGAGCACAAAGTATAAAATATACATAAAATTAACTAAATTAAAATTTAAAAATTTCCTTTTTAAATACACTTTTAGGGAATTCAGACACAAGCTACAAACTGGGGAAAATGTTTGCCAATCATATGTCTGATAAAGGAGGACTCATATACAGAGTGTGCATTTATACTAAAAAACAAACCGTTTCATCTTATAATATGGTCATTTGAGATCCCATCCAATTTTATCCTATTTTAATGCTGATTACAGAATGCAAAGATAGTGACTCAAGAGTATCTCATGTTAAACATTATCTGGAGACTGACCAAGTTATCATAACACAGAGGCATCATATACAACAAACTTTCTCAATCCAAATTCTGAGCAGAAATTACAAGGAATCAAGACAGAGAACCAAGGTTCAACTCTACAAAATATAGCTCTGGGGCTGCTAGAACAGGAAGTGCAAACTAGGCTAAATCTCTACTGTCCCTTTTTTCTTTTGTGAAGTCAAACCTCATTTTTTTACAGAATCACTGCTGCGTCCTCCCTTGTGAAAATACCACACACTTGTACATACACACACATATGTATATAAAAATATATACCACACATGTGTGTATATGGTTTTTTGAAAACACAGCTCCTAATAAGGTGTAATAATAATCTTTCCCTTTGCATGAGGGGCTTGGGGAAAAATGTGTGTGTGTGTGTATACATGTATATATATGCATAAATTCTCACCCAAGGACATGTTTTCCATTGATTTTAGAGAGGAAGGGAGAGGGAGAGAGAGTAAATACTGATCAGTTGTCTCCCATAAGTGCCACTGTCGGAGATCTAACCCAAAATTGGGTATGTGTCCTGACTGGGGACTGAACCTGCCACCCTGCAGTGTACTGGATGACCCTCAACCCTCAAGCCAGGGCAGGAGCTTGAATATTTTGAGGAAAAAAATCTGCTTGAGTTATGTCTTACTTTCCCATATTAAAAAATTGTATAGAAATATGTTTTTCTACCGATCAGTTCTGCGGGCTTATTTGGCCTCTTGTTGATAAACGTTTCAAAGGATTCCTTCATCAAGTTGATGAACTTCTCATTCCTCTGAAAGCACACTTCTATCACATGGTCCACTCTGTCCTTAAAATCCAGCAGGTCCTGCACCATATCTTTATCTTTTTCAGGATTGATAACAATCGTTGTCCCAAAAGTCTACAAAAACAAACACACACCAAGTCATCAACAGGTTTATGAT